TGCGGAAGCCCTTTTCAACTTTACCTCATCTGTGAGTTCACAAAATGCCCCTGGTGCGTGTATAATACAACCAACGGCTTCATGGTGCGTTCTCATCATCAACTCATATGCCCGCCCATATCCCATCATGACCACACGTCTTGGACCGTCACCCTACACAGCGCACTCTTAGGTATTCGCTCGCCTGTTAAGGCGGAGATCTAATGCACCGCCGACGAGCTTGTTTACGGTTCAGCCCTCCTTCTGCCTGTTGAATTTGTGCAGTCAACCCCTCTAAACATCAGCCCATGAACACGATCGCGCAACGGCTGAAGCAATGTACAGTAGTCGCCAAAGACCATGCACTTTCATAACTTTGTATAGATTTGATAATTACTCGAATACCAGGGTGAGTGCATTTATGAAGATTTATAAATAATCAATAAACTGCATCAAGCATAGTTAGTACTAAAAAAAACTGTAGGAATTACTAAGTGTTTGAAAAAAACTAAAATTTTCTCCATAATCCTGCGGTTTTGGAGACGCAAAAAAGAGCTACAAATTAGAACAATAAATTAGATATTGCGTTAAATTAAAAACCTGAAGCAAACACGTTCTATATATAGAAATAACTTTTTTTCGTCAAAATATTCAGTAAATTTTACTCTTACTATATAAGTATTTATTGAATGTCATCAAAAAAGTTTGTCATAATTTTCCTTGATGTTTCTATCTTCATTGATAAATTTATAAATTCTGCATTTTTTCGACGTGTACAACAAGATAGATATAATGACCATTTAACGAAATAAAATGTTTTTTGATATCAGTTTTAATGAACATGGCAACGCTTTTGATAGAAAGAAATGCCTCAAAACATCAAAACACATTGTCGGGATTAAATCTTGTCCGCAGAGGAGTTTTGAAACTACTATTCCTAAGATTAATAAAAAAACTTCCCATAATAAGTAACGTCTTAGTAATTGCTTTGGTTACATATTTAGCTAACGACCTTCTGCGTATATTAAGTTTTCCAACGTAATATCACAATAAAATTTGCGAAGTTTGCGAATTTATTTGTGTTTCCTAAAGATAAACGATTTAATTTGACTGGAGATGAAAGAACTTTATTTTCTCTTTATAAAGGATTATTTTTCGCACAAGTGGATAAATTGCACTTTCTCATACAACTATGCGAATTCAAAAATACTGGCCATCTACACTGCCATTCATATGTCTGTTCCGTTTCTTAAAAAAACTCAAACGATGAACGTAAATTACACAAAAAACTATATTTCTACACGACTTAAATCCAATTAGACCTTTTTTGTCTTAGATTCGCATTGGCATGTTGAATATTTTTGTTTTTGTGTCAAGGTCAAAAGGCGAATTATTTATGCATTCAAGCAAACGCTTCTTTTACGGCACTTTCTGCAAAAACAACTTTACAGGATAGCTAGCCATACTTTTAAAAATACACATCCACAATTTTAATGCAAATAAATGTGATTCTTTTAACTTGGCTTTACTTGAATCTGAACAATTTTGGCAAACTTTTCCAGTTCGGGAAATTCTTCCAATCCTCACCTGTTTGACATTCATAGGCGTGTTTGTGCATGGCGCCTTCAAGTCTGTCACTTCCTTTTCGTCCCGCGGGACGCAGTTTCTATGCTCCTCTGCTCCCCAGGTGAATACTCCCTATAAGGTGCTTCAAAGAATGAAGAAATATTACGTAATTTCTAAGGCTAAATGATATATGCGGTCTCCAGTGACGGACGTCAACCAGCCTTCTTCGGCCATCCACTCCGTCTGTACCCATCCACCCGATCCATCCGTCTCAGTCGGTTCAGCGTACCTATCATTTTCGCCTTCCCTACCTACCGACCTCGTCAAACATCGATCAGCTTTCTTCAGCCGACCTATCACCCTGCAATGCTTCCTGCTTTCTGCTTGCGTTAACCGTCCACTCTGCCCATAACACGCAGATATCATACCTTTCAGTCTATTTAACTATTCTACTTCCCGTCTGATTTTTCATGCTCAACACCTACTAAAGCGATGCCAGGTCTCGGCCGAAAAAACAAAATTAAGACCACGGGTTACTATTTACCTCGCAATCTGGAGGTGATACTGTGGATTGCAGAACTTTGACCCCTCCTACGTATGCTAGGCCCTGTGGCAACAGCATTAAATTGAGGTGGAAGAAGGATAAAACTGAGCAGGAAATTGGTCATTTATGAGAGAGTCTGATAGTCGAGCAATAGTACAGGACTTTAAATAGTCAGTCAGGATACGACCACATATTGGTCACTTTAAATAAGCAAGGCTTGCATATGTAGCAAAAATATCTTACAGAAAGACATGCGCAATCCTTCGGGACCTTTGTATTTCGAATGACTGATTGTTTGCGGTCTTTTTCAAGTCAGTGCATCCGCAGGGTTCTCGGATTGATTCTAGAGGGATGATCTGTGCACTAAAAGTCACAGTTTCAGGTGTTCTCTGAATCAAGAAGTACATCTCAGTTGTATAAACTACCTTCAGGCATTTCATTTGGGAAATCCTGCTTGGGCAGTCAGCTTGCTGTTCCGTCTTTGTGAATTTTATACTAGCGGTAAAGTTTGGCAGGCAATCGCGACCCAATATTGATTAAATTCACCTGTGCCTGCCGGTGAAGGCCTTCTCAACTACGCGGGTTCAAATTCTGCCGAACGCCTCGAGTTTTTCACAAAAGTGTCAAATCAAATTAAGCTAATCCAACAAATCTCATAATGCTTTTTTTCACTTGGTCACCTAAGCGATATGGACAAATTTCATATGTCTGGCCGGTGGACGCGATGGGATGGGCATCGTTAATGAAGGACGTGATATTCACACAAAGCCTCATTAACAAAAAAACAAATGAAGATAATGCGAGAAACAAATATAATTGCGGAAATAAATTCACCACCGAAGCATAATATAGAATGAAGGGAACCAAAACCAAAATTACTGAAGGCCTGCAGTAACAGAACGGATGAGATCCAGTTGGATCCTTGTGACAAATACACAATGGGTTCTAAAATAATAAAGTAATAATGGATTAGTCAGCAATTCAATTTCCAACACAGAGACCGGATGAGTTGAGCCGGAAAGGGAAATGAAAAGCCTAGGAAAAAACGTAAGACAAGAAAGAAGGGCAAATAAGGAAGTGAAAAAAGGGTATCCTGCTCCCAGAATGCATTATCTGGGAGCTGCGCTGGACCTGTCGTGAGTCATGCGGGATACAAACTCTCAGTCCAGTAGAGCTGAAGTACCAACGCCTACATCTAACACAGTGTTCGCCAAAGATCACGCAAAATGCCGACAGATGCAAAAGGTTGATAACCTTTTGCTAATCGGCATTGACTCAGGTTGTAATACTGATTATCTTGAAGTCTATTTCGAAGCCATTTCAGTCACAAAAAGATTTGGGCTTTATAGCGAGCTTTCTTTTGACCACCAGCAAAACGTAGTTATTGCAAAAAGTGACTAGGTAAGTATTATGCCTTTATACAATCCGTTTTACACATGCATAAACAGCGCTTGCAGAGGCATGGAAGCAGCTCTCGGACATTTTATCTTCAGCGACAGACAAAGGGCGTAAACAAAATGATTCATGAAATGTAAAAAAAGCCACTTAATTTTCTCAATTCGTCTCAAAGCATATACGTTGAGATGCAACAAATGTACCTCCTTGATTTGTAAAGGCCTCTGACTTCGTAATGGGGAAAGGAAATAGCAAATGGTTCTTATGTATTAAGAATGCGATCAGGCCGCTAAAGAGTTGTGCCTGGAACCTAAGTACAGACGGATTCAAAAAGACACATGATCTTGGGTTCGGACACATCACCTCATAAGCAACTATGAAAGTGGTGAAGAATGGGGAAAGTTATCTGCACTTTCGCTAACTCTTCTCACTGGCCACAACATCCTACTTGCACAGAAATTGCCTCAACCTCCGCGGAGGCTTATCCTATAGGGTGTCGGTTGTCATTCGTTATCGCGGCCGGTTGTCGGTGCGTGGAACGGACTTCCTGATGGCGTTTTAACGGCGGACACGAAGCAAACCTTTAAGCAGATACTTAAGGTTTACTGAACAATAACCTTAAAGCAAAACGAAAAACACAAATATCGCTCTGGTGCCGAACAGTGAAGGTGAAAGTGCACCACTGTGAACTGGAATACAGTTCTTTGGGGCTGTCTCTCAAGCGATCACTTCCTACATCCCAAACAATGATCAATACGCTAGCAAAGATGAAAAATGAAGGGTCAATGATTCGGTGAATGTAACTTACACTTGGCTGGCATTTCTACAGAAGCATATGCGTCTTCACCGACGAAATCACCATCCTCATTTATCCAAAACACGCCAAGCTTGTAAGAGGTAGATGGCGTCAAGTTGATTAACGTGTACTCTGTTTCATTTAGATAATGATCCGCCCAACAGTCCGCCGGAAAAAAAGAAAGCGCGTACTGGAATGAAGATTCAAATGATGGCCTCGGCAATTTCCACTGCACATGAATAGCCGTAGAATTCAGGACCTGCGCGTTCACATATCCTGGCGCAGGCGTTTCTGTAAACAAACGGGTAAAAACCGTCGTCAGATTTCGAATACCAACTGAACTTTTTTTGTTTCCATTGTTATATGTCTGCCTCTTACGGTGCCTTAATCTTTCCAGTATCAGTTCTTAATGAACCTGCTTGCTGGACTTTAATTGTGCATTTGCTGTCGTTAAAGGTAATTGCAGCCGAGCCTGTAGTGACGCAACTCCCAGTGCAACTCTAAACCTCCTGCCTTTCACGACTGCTTGTACGTGCGTAGCAGGGTTTGCTGACCTCAGTTAGGTCTGATCAATCATCTTCCTGAGGCCGACTCATATATGAGCTCGCTGGGGGCTCTTTGATGACCTCCATGCTCTCACAGTTTGGGATGGAAAAGTACGTTTTTACCTTCTGTTTGAGAAAGAAGTCGTAAAGTTGTCATAACATATTGAAAAATATGTGGAACATATTATATGTAGTAAAAGCAGCATTAATAAAATTACGGATACGATATATCATGAATAAATA